ACATCTTGTGCTCCCTCTCCTTAGCATCCATGTTGTTCCCAGTGGGTTCTCAAACAGCTTGAAACTTCCCTTTTATATGTCTTATTCACAGAACTTAAAGCTAGCACAGGGTCAGGTTTCCCAGTAAACTAGCAGAACCATCACACTGATTCTATGAATCTTTAAAACTTTAAGTGTAGAGAATGTGCTGTATTAAGGGCACTTCAGGCAATGTGGGCTTTGCTGTCATTGTGGTCTGTTGAGACAAATTACAAAGAATAATTAGAGATGATTTTATTTAGGTCATTGTAATAGGGATGCCTCTCACTAAGGAGGGTCAACCCAGGCTTGGAAGGAAGCCTGTGCTTTTTCACAAATGAAAAAGTCATTTGTGAGTCTTTGAAAATAATGAAGAAGGACTGAGAGGGTTGTGTCTCAGTAATGTGAGAGAAATTGAGGTGTTTTGTGATTAATTGTTTCTGGAGCACAAAGGACCGATGGGCTTTCTTAACCATTTCTACTTTGTAGAAGCTCAGTCCCAGGTAAAAGTGAACATTGCCTGTGTCAGGCCCTGCTTTGTGGGTGATGGATTAATATCAGTTACTAATGAACAAGCCAGAGGAATCCAGAAGTCTTCTGGGTATGATAAAGCAAGATCTCAGACACAATCTTTCAGCAATCCTTGTTGGCATAGCTCCTGAAACACTTGCTGAACCACATTTTGGGAGGTGGTAGTTTTGGATGGCTGAAACTCTTAGAGCCTGGCAGTGTCTGAGCTGTTGGAATTTAGTTCTTGGTGATGTCATTGGGTGGTGATATGTTGGGCAGTAATTGGAAAAGTTAGTGCAGATGGTTGTAGCTTTATAGGGGAAAAAAAGAACTGAGAATTAGTAATGATAATTTGTACAGGGAAATGAGCTCTAACATAATTTAAACACAGTCACTAAATTGCTGCCTCCAGGGAGGGAAGGAGGTCAATTAAATCTACCTGACAGTAGAGTTGCCTATCCACCAGTAACCTTCTGCTCTGCTTTCTGAGCTGTGATAAATACTTGATGACTTTTAACATGGAGAGAAAATACTTTGGCTCATGGGCTCAGAGGTTTTCTTTCATGACTACTTGGCTTTGCTACTCTGGGCCTATGGCTAGGAATCACACCAAGGAAGGAAGCATGTGACAGAAGAAGATGGTCATCTTACTTAGCTGGACTCAATAGCAAAGTCTCAACATCTGCTTCTAGGGCGAGTTACTAGTGACCTAACTTCCTTCTAGATAATGCATCCTGACCACAATTTTTCTGCCCTCTTCTCTTCCCAGCTTATTATAATCTGATAGAGGCTAAAATTTAGCAGGCCTTTGACAATGCTGACCTAGAACATATGCTGAGGCATTTTACTTGGGACATCACAAGGTTGAGCGTAACTGTTTGAGAGGTAGAGACTTGGTTTCTGCCCTTGGTTGAATCAGAATGCATTTTAGCAAGACCCTCAAGTGAGTCTCACGTCTATTATGCACACTGCAGTTAGATAAAGAGTGCAACTCAGAAGTGTGCAGTATTGAAAATGTGGCTAGAAATATGGGGAAGAAGGTTTTCAGAACCCTGAACATTCACAGATTATCCACAGCTGCTTTCAATGTACTGTTTACATAGCATCTTCCACGTTTCAGGTAATCTTTGAGAATTTTGCTATTGTCGTCAGTCTGATGAAGTTGATAATTAGTGGGGAAAAGACGTCCAGATAGAAGCAGATAAACCAACCTTGTCATTTGTAAGTCAGGGCATCGTATTATTTTAGTGAAAATGGTTTTTTTAGTACTTTACAACCAGCACATACTTTATTTTTATCACTTTAAAAATACTTTGTGGCTGTCATTATAGAAAATGTTGTCAGACAGCCAGCTATGAAGTTAAGTAATGAGTAGGCTAATGCTGCATTTTTCCATGTAGGAAAGAAGGAATGCAAATGGTTATCAAGACAACAGATTTCCATTTTAAGATTTATTGTTACTTATGTGTATGGGTATGTCTCTTTGCATGTGTGTCATATGCACTGGGGCCTTTAAAAGGCAGAAGAAGGCATCAGATGTCTTGGAGCAGGTGTTGCAGGAAGTTGTAAGCTGTCAAACATGGATGCTAGGAATTGAACTCGGGTCTTCCGAAAGAACATCCGAGACCTTGAATGCTGAACCGTCCGTCCCTCCAACCCATAGACACAATTTTTAAATTTTTATTACATGTTTATTTATTATTTATTATTTATTTTATTTTTCTCTATATATGTGGTAGAGAGAGACAGAGAGTCAGAGATTCAGAGACAGAGAGAACATGTTTCCACCATGATAGACATAAAGGTTAAAGGGTAACTTATGGTAGTTTGCTGTTTCCTTCTATCCTGTGGATCCCAGTGGTCAGACTCAGGCTGTCATGCTTGCAGTAAAATGCTTTTACCCACTGAAGTATCTCAACAGGCCCTAGATTTTGATTTTCCAGGACATTCTGGCTGAACACATGAACATATGGTTATGTTTACCACGAACAACTACACTGCTATCATTATTATTGCCCCCCAATCTCTGCAATGTAAGGATCACAAAGTCTGAGGAGTGCGCAGCACCCCTTTGTTTATTAGTTCAACAAATGTGCATGCACGTGTGCATGTATCTATGTAAGTATGATATTTGATCTACTATTAACTAAAGACAGTACTGGGGACTAAGATATAAGCTGTACAAGGTCAGGCAAGGGTTTTCCCCCGTTGAACTTATCATTCAGAGGATACAAGTAAACAAGTTTTGTGTCTTGAATATGAACTATTTTTCTGATGTATTGAGTGCCTGGTCCTCAGGTAGAAGAACTATTCAGGAGATGTGAAATTTTAGGGAAAGGAAGGAAGCTGGTCACTGGGAACATGTACTTTAGGGTTTTTTCTTGTTCCTGCTCCCTGCCTCTTTGCTTTTCTACGGTGGGGTGAGCAAGTGTGCCTACAAGCTCCAACCACCACGGGCTTCCTCCCCATGGGTCCAGGATCGAAGGAGCCAAGGAACAGTGACCTGTTCCTTAAATTTTGTTCTCAGTATTTGTCACAGCAAAGGGAAAACTAACACGATAAATAAATAAATGAAAGAGAATCTGCGCTATGCAGGGAAGTGTAACAGAGCTTTTCACATGCAGTACCCAAATTATCCACAAGAGAGCTATATGATCATGCCGGCCCAAAGCACGTCCAAAGCATCCAGAGGAGGTCTGACTGGAGAGGCAACAGCGCAGGTCTCTACCTTGTCAGGCAAATTCCAAGTGATGGACTCCACACAGACACTGAGGCAGAGCAGTCTAAGCACCATGCACAGAAGTATAAAGCCACTGAGTTGGAAGCAAAATTGGTGTCTGTCAGGGGCAGAACAAAGGTTACCGTATCTGGAGGTCATTGAGAACTCTAGTACAAGAAAAGATTGATAAGCTTGTCAGGGATGATTTCCTGTGAGACCATGGTACCCCTTTAGGGAGTTTCGTTCTCTGAATTTCTGAAAGGATGCTTTCAGCCGCTTTAAAGATCTATGTGACCAATGAAGCAATAGTGGTTGTTGTTAACAGTTGAACAAATTGTTCTCCAAGGTTTTAAGCTGTGTAGCCTTGAAGACAGTGTTGCAGGTTCATAAGTTGGTGTTACCTAGGAAAGATACTTTGTGTGTGTGTGTGTGTGTGTGTGTGTGTGTGTGTGTGTGTGTAAGTGAGCACATGGTGAACATGTGGAGGACAAAGGAGCGATCCAATGTTGGTTCCCTCCATTTTTTCTTGTTCACTATTCTTTGGCTTGGTATTTAACATGCTCAAAAGCCAAGCTTCAGCTTCAGCAATGTTGTTTCTCTCCTCTTTATGTCTGTACTCTATTGTACCTAGTTATCCTATAACCTAGAAAGTAGCTGTTTTTCTGTACTTGCAAACACTTTGCTTTTTCTAGCTGACATTTCTGTTCATGTTTGTCATTTTTTCTTCATCTGCATCTTCATAACAAATAACTAAAATCCTGCCTGCATTTAAACACCATATTAAATGGTACCTAAAGCTTTACCTTAATCCTTTCATATTGTTCTAAGTTTTTTATTTACTTATGTGTGATTTGTGTTGCCTATTTTCTGTCAGAACCATATTCTATATTTATGATTTAATCAACATGAGTACTGCTTCTGCTTTTAAACCAGTTCAAAGTAAAGCCTATGACTTAGCTATGTTGGTGTGTCCCAGAGCTCTAGTACAAAACATTTGCATAATGTCCTTCTGGTATGTACCTGTGGAATGATAGAGTGACACAGGAAGCAAAGATTATTTCCTAGACTGTGTGGCACAAATTCCTCCCATTTCTTGCTGTGCAGTATCACCTGCCATAGGAGTAAGTTGTCTCTTCCTCTGTTTTTCTGTTTTGAAGCTACAGGTTCTTGCACATTAGAATGTTTTTTAAGGATATGTGTGTAATGTGTAGTCATTCAGACAGTCAAACTGTGTGTTGATTATTTTAATTGTCTTATTTCAACACAGCATAATTTGCTCTGGGCTCTTTACAAGCCCTTGATAGCTGTTAAGCAGATTTAAAAACAAAAACAGAAAACATCAGCTTATTTAGTTCTCACCCTTAAATCACCAGTCTCTGCCATTATACCATAAAGGAATAACACAATCTGTGTGTGCATGTGTATGTGTGTATGTGAATGTGTGTAAGTGTGTGTGTATATGCATGTGTGTTTCTATGCGTGTATATATGTGTGTATCTGTGTGTGCCTCTGTGTGTGTGAGAGGAGTCCTTTATATTTAAATAAACATAAATGAATAGCAGAAGCTTAGAAAAAAATCTTCCCAGTACATTCTTGTTTCCAGAAACACAGATTTTCAGGAAAAACAAACAAAGAAAAACAAAACAAGAAAAAAAATCAAATCAAAACACAGAGAGATTTATCTTTGCTATTTCATTTAACTGGGTCTCTTACTAAATGTAATGTTCATGCCGTTTCCTTCATCATTCTGTAGCTTTGAAAGCTGTATTTGATGAGAAAAGCCTATTCCCCAAAGAAATTCTCGACCGTGAAAGACAAGACAAGCCGTTGTGTCAAGAAACAAATGAAGTGAAGATAAAGAGAAATAAGAAGTAATTACGATCAAGTAACAAACACACCACTGTGACATGAAGCAACCCCACGAAGGCTGAGAAATACCCAGAAGTCCTTTCTCTGTTACTTTATGTGTAAACGTTTCCTTTAGGCTATGTGTTTGTGCTGACAGTACTCAGGGTCTCCCCTGTCTTTGCAGTCTAAGAAGAAGAAAGATTGGTTTAAAGAAGAGCAACGCCAAGTGGGATTATCTATTTCAGAAGAAAGTATTTTACCTAGTATTTCCTGTAATTGCTCCAGTAGACAAACATTTATAATGTGTTTTACTACAAAATCTTCATTAAAATATGTGAAAGAACTCTTTGATCATCTCTCCCTGAGGGGGTCGCAGCATTACCAGTCCACAGAGGAAGACAATGTAGCCAGTCTGATGAGACCTGATAAGCTATGGTCAGATGGAAGGGGAGGAGGACCTCTCCTATCAGTGGACTTGGAGAGGAGCATGGGAAGAGATGAGGGAGGGAGAGTGAAATGGGGAGGGAATGAAGGAAGGGGCTACAGCTGGGATACAACGTAAATAAACTGTAATTAATATAAAAAACAAAAATTTAATTTAAAAAAGAGTACAGAAAGCTAGCTATATACTAAACATGTGTACATTCATTTCTGCTCTTGATTACAGATACAGTATCACTGGCTGTTTCAAGCTCCTGCCACTGTGATTTCTCTACTATGATGAACTGTAAACTAGAATTAAAAGGGGAAATAATGTCCTTTCATTACTAACATATGTATATGTGTATGGAAAAGACAAAAAAAACTGGTAGAAATTTACTTAAAATAGTTTATTCTTCATAATTTTACTCCAACAGTTTTGATACTAATATTGACAATGGCAGCACATCTTGTTTTTTTTTTTAATATACCTTTTATTTTAGCTGTACAAATTTGTGGTGCACAGTTTTAAAATTTAGTAGACATTGAAGTGCTTAATGACCATATTGGGGTTGTGAACATTTACAAGTCATTAAATATTTTCAAGTATTTTTCACTAGCATGTGACCCTTGCACGCATGGATGCAGGCGGCGAGGTTAGTATTTCAGCACTTGTATCTGGTATGTAGTAATGAAATGGGAATAATTGCTATTTCCCAGTGATCATTCCTATGTTCATTCTCTTGTGTCCTGAGTGGGGAATTGGTGAGGGTGATTGGTCTTCTGTACTTGAAAACCCAGTAGTCTACCACACCCAAACAGTTAATAGCCTCAAAAAACCAGCAAAGCACCTGGTCCTTCTTTCATAAAGACATCGGTGTCCTCAAAGATCTCACTAGGCAGTGTTTGGCTCTGAAACGTACTGATTCTCCTTGTGACAAACTTTACTTTACACCATCATGCTTCAGGAAATCAATATTGTGATGTTTTTGGTTGTTGTTCCTTTCAGAAAGAATTAATAAATTCATTTCCATAGCTTCGGTTTATTTGTATCTGTTTATATTTTAAAGAGGCTTTAAAAATATTTGGACTTTAAAACTACTGCAATAATACATGTTAGTAAATAATTAATGTAAAGCAGATAATTTTGATGAGCAACCAACAGATTTAATATATTTAAATTCCATATGCAATCCTTTAAACTTAATCTGTTTTAATGCTGAAATGTGAGATACTGTTTCATTATGAGATTGTCTAGTAATAAAATGTCAGTGTTGAGATTCTAACTCTGGTCTGTTTATTTCTAAGATCAAGGCATTCGTGACTCATGGTTCTGTTCACTTCACAGGATAAATTTAATGATATAATATAATATAATATAATATAATATAATATAATATAATATAATATAATATAATATAATATAATATAAATACAGATTTAATAATAGATTTTCATGCATCGTTAGAACGAACATTTTGACTTGGGAATGGGTGGAGTTGAAAGGACTTCCAAATATAGAATTACCTTCTGTCTGTGTTTGTGTGAATAGTGAGTCAGATATTATAAATCTTATGTATATACCTTTACCTTCTCACTGAATTGTAATCATATATGGCAAAAATACATAAGGGCTGTGTGTGTGTGTGAGTGTGTGTGTTGAGCTGTTTATCTGGAAAATGTTCTTTACAGGAAATATCATATGCTGTGGAATCTTTCTATGTAATAGAAAGCTGAATTGTGCCCTCAAAGGATTAAAAAGTATTATGAGTATGAAAAGCACATATACATCTGTGTATATATGTGTGTACCTATGTCTGTCACCTAGTTGTTACCTAACAATTTATCTATAATCTGTCTGTATGTCTGTATCTGTCTTTTATATTGACCAAGGATATAATAACTATTGGAGAAATTGAACGAGGATCATGGAGATTGCAGGTCTTTGCACCATACAGGCAAATTTATGTAAATTTAAAAATATTTCAATGTAAATTTTAAAAATTTAAAAATATTATTTTGATCCTAGTCTGTTAGGTCTCATCAGTAGTGGCTGCACTATCTTCCTTTCTGTCCTGGTTAGGCTGCTCCCCCCTCAGGAGGAGGTGATCAAAGAGCAGGCCAATCAGTTCATGTCAGCGACAGTCCCTGTTCCCATTACTATGGAACCCACTAGGAGACTGAACTGTCATGGGCTACATCTGTGCAGGGGTTCTGGGTTATCTCCATGCATGCTACTTGGTTGGAGTATCAACCTCAGGGAAGACCGACCCCTGTGCTCAGAGTTTTTGGTTCTGTTGTTCTCCTTGTGGGGGCTAAGACCTCTCCTACCAGTGAACTTGGGGAGGGGCATTCGTGGAGAAGGAGGAGGAAGGGAGGAATTGGGAAGGGAGGAGAGAGGGAACTACAGAGGGGTACAAAGTAAACAAAGTGTAATTAATAAAAAAATAAAAAATTTAAAAAATATTATTTTGATATAAAGGATTCTTTTAGATTTTCAAACAGAAGCAAACTATAGTAAATGGAGTGTTTGACTGGATAAGCCATCATTACAAACTCAGAACAATGATTTACGAGTCATAGATTGATGATAGCACAGTGAACTGAAATCAGAGGTCCATTCCCAGAAATGTAAGGGATTATTAAGATGTAAAAGGGATATCATAAAAATACTAAGTCGTCTGTGACAACTCTTTTCTCCATATACAGTCATCTACCCATTCATGAATGCATGAATCCATCTAGTCATTCAGAGTTTGGTTATAGAAGGCAGAGGCAAGACCACTTGTTCACGTGTTTACAGGAAAACAAAAACAAAACAACAAAACAAAACCTCACCTGGCCTTAAGCTTTCTCAAGTGGATTCAAAAATAATATAATGGTTAATTAGGCTGAGATCAAACAAGAAATTATTTGGTTTTATGTATAATTTAGAAATTATTTCAATAGTCACATCTTATTTCTATTTCCCAAGACGAAGTCTTTTTGAAGAGATTGGTATAATATAATTTGCTCCATATAGACTGATTTTCTCTTAGTAGACTATTATGTCATCAGAGCTGGATGCTTTGTAGAACTCTAATTCCATCACTCATGAACCTTATTTAGGCTCTACTTTGTGAAAAGAATTATGAGGAGCAGCCTCAAAGTACATTTGATGAATTTACAAAGTACAAAAGAAGCTTTAAAGCTCTGGAAGTCTCTTTTAATGTCACTTCTAAAAACCTGGCAAAATATACACAAAAGGCAAAGGAATGACAGTTACTTATTACATCTTAACTATTCTTTCATATTTTACAGCCCCTAATTGTGCTAAGCAAGTAGCAGGGTCTTGCCGGTCAAATGTTAATAGACTGGAGAATTATAAAGTGTTCCTGAAATTAATATTTAGATGCAATTATTTAAGAACCATTTTTCTACAGTGAAAGGAACTTGTCACATAAAATGGTTATGATTTTCAATAGTTGTTTGTAATATGTACATCTATACTAGATATAATGTAATTCTTTTTCTTTTCAGAATATGTTGTTCTTATCACTCAAAATATATGGAATACACTGACAGAATAAAAGATGCCTGAGATCCATCTGTGCTAAGTGGAAAACTTTAATTTTTTTTTTTATTGATGAGTACATTTGCCTTTGTGCATTTAAAGTTTGAAATTCAGTATATTTTTATTTGAAAAAAATGAACTATAAAATATTAATAAAAGTGATGAGATTAAAACTAAATCCTTGTTATTGATGGTACTAAAATTTATAAAAAAAATGAAGACATTTTCTTTGACTGTCTAGGGGCAAAATATAGTTGTGAAAAGAACAGATTTGTAAAACTATTTAAATGATATATAATAATATTTTACAATCAACTATTCTTTGTTGGCTACTAAAATTAAACCTGGAAACAAAAGTTCACAGTTACTTCTTTTCACTCTAGAAAAGGTGGGAAAGTGAAGTTTTTTTTTTGTTGTTGTTGTTTTTTCATTTGAACTTTCTAACTTAAGGTGTCTACAGAAAACTCACGTTGAATGGTCTAAGGCAGAGCGGCTCTGAACAGCTTTTCCAGGAAGAGAAGTACTGGCTGGTTCTTGGAAGAATCGCACTGTGACCTGAGGAAGGTGCAGGCACGGCGAGTTGGTCCCTGAGGGTACCAGGGCTGCAAGGTCGCTGGTGCCATCACATGGAAGGAAAGCAGTTGGCTGATAGTCTTAGCCTTCTGGCCTGGATTACATGTGTAGAACAATTCAGAAGGCAGTGCTCCTGTACTGAACAGACACAGTCTGGGAAATAATTATGGCATCATTAAATCTAGAAAAATACTTATGTTAGAAAATGTAGTGTTGGAAGAAACCCTAATATTAAAAAAAAAAAAAAACCTTTGGGAATGCCTCTATAATCAGTAATGCTGGTTGATGGAAAAAGATGTTGGCCAGTGGGAATTACTATCTTGGATCTGTAGTGCTGAAAACAGTAAAACCTAGCTCATCAGGCTATGGCAGCTTCTCAGAGCCATAATGCTTCTCAGATCTGTCTCAGGGTCATGGCTATGCTAGAACACTGAGACCATTAACAAGGTCCAAAGTATGGGATAAACATTTTAGAAGATGTGTTCCTTTAAGACATTCGTTTTAAGATGCATATATTTTATTTCATTCTCATGAGGTTAACAGAAATACTATTAAATTTGGTGATCAATAGTCACATATTTGTTTCAATGAAACCACACTAAATTTTCCATTTCTCAGAGGCCACACAATTGATATGTGTGTTTAATACCTTCCTGCCGCTGACATGATAGAATTGAACTACAAAAAGGAGAAGAAACCCTTTGAATTATATATCTGCTTTTTACTGATGGGTGCTGTGTAGACAGAGTTATGTAGAATGATAAAGTCACATATAAGTAACCTCAATATTCTCTATCAAATTACCTGGGATTAATGGTATTTTTAAAGTGTAATTTGGTAAAATTCAATATTCTTAATAAATATACATAAATAAACATAAGTGTATATTTATCAACATGGATTCTTTTTCCAAAAAGTTAGAATGGGACTCATAGACCCAGGAAATGCTTCTGACCTGTGTGTGAGGTGACAAACTGTGGCAGTTGTGGAGTGGATTTGATTTTGGCCTGTCCTTTTCCTCACAAGTACTTTGCAATATTTATGATGGGTTGAATGTTTTATCTGACTTGGTGTCCTATTAGAGTCCAGCACATATAAATATCTGTCACATTTTTTTTCAATTTTTAAAGGAAATGAAATAACGGATGAAATAATACTACTTAATTTTTGTCATATTGTTTTTCCTTTCATTTATATTTCATCATTATTCATTAACTTGATCCCATCACAGCATAGTGCACACCTGCTCTGGCTGTGGAAGAATTAATCATGCAGTGTTCAGGATAAATAGAGCTGGCCTTCACCGATAAGCGGCTGCCTCATATAAGAGCGTTTTCCAGTAAGCATATTTTACTTACAGTATTCCAGTAAACAACCAGAAGTTAATTTGGGGTAAGTACCCTAAAATTTAAAAGTAGATATTTAGTAACACGGACTGTTTGTTTAAGTATAGAGATGGCTAATTTGATTCATTTTTGTGCAAGAATAATTAAAGTATTTTTAAAAAATAAAATCTTACTTTCACTCACCTTAAATCTCTTTATTCTAGAAAGGTCAAACTCTTATAGAACTATTCATCATGTTGTTTATTTTTTAGTTTTTTGTTCTTTCTGGTAAGATATTATTCAAAACTGAATGAGGTACGTGAACTTAAAATCAGTTATTTGTTTGATGCTATAATTTATTAAGTGCCTAGAAAATTTATAGTGTAAGTGGCTGCTCATAGATGTGAATTTTTATTATGAGAAGTATCAGTACCAGTATTATCTTAAGACCAAGACTCTATTATCAGGGAGAGTTACATCATTCCTACTAATATGTATTATCCCGTTGTTGGCCAATACATAAAGATATATCTAATGAAGTCCAACTTTTTTGAAGAGTACTGATAACATTTTAATGCCTTACATAGCTCCAAACAGATATTTTGTCCAGGAATATTCTGAGAAGTTGAATACACACATATATTCATAAATATATTATATATATTCATAAAAATTTAAAGCCAAAACCATGTTTATATATAAACATATATACATACATACATGTATATAAATATATCAGAGCATAATATCTACACATTAATTTATGTGTAAAATTTCTCTCATAAATTGCTTTTTACTATTGTCCTTGCACAAAGTAGCATATTGACTTAATTCTAAATAAAGCAACTGCATGACCATTTACAGCTATACCATGCCTTATCAACACATTACTTTCTATTAGTTGCCTTGTATTACATTTTGTCCTATGTAAGATGTAAATGCAAGTAAAGTAAAATTTTTTTGCAAGTAGAATCTTTCCACTTATATTAAAAATATGAAATACCAAAAATAATAGCTTATATCTTACTTTTTGAGGCTAGTCGGTTATTCTTTTCTTTATATCTACTAATGCCTCTTAGTAACTTTTACCCTGAAACTCTAAGAATGTAGTATTTTAGGTCTTCAAGGCTAATGGCACTATTTTAAAGGCTTTACTCTTTGCTCTCATTGAAAGATCACTTCCTAGCACTCCATTAATAGTTAATAGGTATAATTTGTAAAGTAAAATTAGCATTACTGAAATTTCTGAGAATTCAACATTACTATTCTATGAAACATTCAAAACTGTTTCCCACGAAGGTATAGTCAGGCAGTTGATTTTCTTGTAATTACCTTAGTGGACACTTTATGACTGCAACACTCTTGTGAATAGTTACAGTTTTATGTTGCTGTTTTCCTTACAGCTGTTTATTGTTTAGTCAGAATGTTTGAAGATTTCACTCATTGTTTTTATTTTACCATTTGCATTTGACCGGCATTTTGTTTCCTTTCACTCTTTCTTTGTTTCCTTTTCTCTCCTTTGAAAAGCTGTGAAGTGAGATATTGTCATATTTTGATCTTAGAAGTAAATTCTTAGAGTATGAAAAGAGCTGTTGTTGGGGTAGCCAGACTGCCCTGCTGACTTAGATTGCCTGGCTTCCTGGTTCTACTGCTTTCAGTCTATAAAGCCTTTGACATAACCTGAACAGGTAACCTGACATATGTGAACCCTTGTGTTAGAGTCACAGGTGTGCATTAAAGTCAAGAGAAAGGAGAGAAGAATCACACAATTAGTTAAAAGTGGCACTGTCACTTAGAATGTTGTAAGACTAGAGCTTTACCATTGGTTTTAGGAAACTCAAAGTATATATGATGCTAGTTTACACAGAATATTTTGTGTATATAGATATATAGGTACAGATAAATACATAGACATACATATACATCATATAAGTATACTTACACGTGTGTGCAGGGTAGTCTAATAGATGAAAACTCTACTGGTAAGCTTACTATGATAAAGTTTGTTTTAAGATGTACAGCTTGGTCTTCATGTAGATCCCCCCAAAACTGGAGCAGGGGCTCTCTCTGACTCTGATGCCTCTCTTTGGATCCAGTTCCCATAGCTGGGCTGACTTGTGTGGCCTCAGTGGAAGAGTATGTGCCTAGCTCTGCAACGTAATGTGCCAGGGAGGGTTGGTACCCCTGGGGGACCTCCCTTCTGAGCAGAAGGAGAGGGGAGAATGTGGTAAAGGGGTGTGCGATGAGGAAAACTGGGAGAGGAGGGAGGCTGTAATCAGGATGTGAAATGAATCAATAAACAAAGTGTGAAAAAAAAACCCAATACATTTTACATTATTACACAGAAGTCAAGATGGATAAGATCATATTGTGGAGTTTTCTGCTGTTTGTTTCTGAGAGTCAAGTTTCAAGAACAGTGGCTCAGAAAAATGCTGAATTTTCAGTGGATCTTTATAAGGCTATTTGTTTATCCCACAAGAACAACATTATATTTTCACCTCTTGGAACAACTGTGCTTCTTGGAATGGTCCAATTAGGCGCAAAAGGAAAAGCACAACGGCAGATCCGGCAAACTTTGAGGATGCCGGCTACCTCATCAGGTGAATGTCTTCCATGTGACTGTCTATAGATATGGTCAGCTTTAGTTTTAGCATATCAGAGAGAAGCTCAGCTCGTAGGACTTCAAGAGATGAAAATAAACAGACAATACCAAATCATAACCGAACAGATCATGTATGCATGTATGCAATTTATTCACTTATATTGTTTCCTCCTAAAATGGGTAGCAAAATACTTTATTAAGAAATTAAGTCTTATACAGAAATAACATTCTCTATATATTTGTGTATTTTTCTCTGAATTTTTTGTATATTTCTACTTACTGATTTTTAATATATGGAACTAATTCAAAATATAATTTAACCTTGCATTTTATTTATTCTTGTGGAAAGGGCATTAATTACTCAACCTTTCTTCAGTAGTTGTTTCTCATACTTCTCTCACAAAAGTGCTGTACTACTTCAACAAAAGACCATTAACATGTACTTTATAAGCTTGCTTATTAATTTTATAAAACGGGGCAAGGGAGCACTTAAGTAAGCCATCAAAAGTTTCTTAATGTGCGTGGTTGTTTTGGACTCTCCTAAGGTCCAATGTAGTCACCTAACATTGCATTGGAGGCATCTCCCTGGCCGTCTGACTCATAATCACATAATTCCACATGTTATTCTCCAGACTTCCCAGCATCAACTGTTGAAGAGGATGTTATTTTTTTAATTTCTTTTTTAATTTATTTTATTTTTTATTATTAGTTACATTTTATTAACTCTGTATCCTAGCTGTATCCCGCTCCCTCATTCCCTCCCAAACCCTTCTTCCCTCCCTCATCTACATTTAAAATTTTGATTTGGGAGTTTAGTTACTACAAGAACAATTAATTTCAGTATATTTTTCTTAGCACAGTTTATATGTATATAGGAACTGGTTTTTCTGAAAGTTTTGGCAAGGCTTATGTTGCTCCGTTTTAAATAAAAGAAATTTTGTACAAAAGAGGTATTGCTAATAAGTTAAATGGGTTTTTTGGGGGGGAGTAATGTATAACAAAGCCACTGTAGTCATGTTGATTAATTTCAGCAAGTCCCAGAACTCTACTCCCAGACACATCATATCTCCTGGCCCTGCTTTAAAAAGTAATATATTGTTTATGAATGCGTGCAAAGCTGAGTCTATGATAAGCTATCAAATAGGTCTCTGTAATTAAATTCCCAGATGGAAACATTTTAGATGGAAACATAAATGTCTTAAGAATGGTAGGAATTAATGTAAAAATCAAAGTAATAATAATAATGAGGTTCCACCAAGCATGGATGTAGTCTATACATGTCTGATGCAAACCATATGATGTGATGTCTATAATAGCTACATAAGATACATATACCCCTGATGAACATATGAGAAAGACAAAGCAAAAGGAGTTGAGTACTTTGGCCAGTGTTATTTCACAAAAGGATGCAGTGAGAGTCATAAGGGAAATTTTATATTGTCCTTATAAGGGTATATACAGATGGCAAAACAGTGAGAGGAATCTGCAGTTCTCCTTCCCAGTGACATAGAGACACAAAAGGAGGATAAGTAGTAAAGGAAAAGAAAGTCAAAAGGCAAAATAATGAAAATGAAGTAAGAAAATGAAATAGAGGAATGAAGAAATAAAAGATGCACAGTTAAGAATTGAGAAAAAATGAGGGAGTGAAGGATAAGCAGATGGAGAAGATTCCCCAGACAGTCTGAAGTGAGCTGAGTAAGTTGACAAGAGTGGAGCCAGCGCTTTGTGTATGTGTTTGTCTCTCTCTCTCTCTCTCTCTCTGTGTGTGTGTGTGTGTGTACTAACACATGTGTATGTGTGAGTGCACATGCATGAATGTAATGAAATTTTGGAGGCCAGGAGACAGTGCTGTTCTTCAACTGTCCCGGTTTTAAAGAACTTGTTTTTGTTTTAAACTGCATGTAGTCCTGTGTGTGTGTGTGTGTGTGTGTGTGTCCTGTGTGTGCATAGGTGCTTGTACA